TGTACATCAGAAAATGCGCCTTGAGGCATGGAACATATGTACCAAATATGCCAAAGATGTCTACAAAATTATCTCAGTTATTATTAAAAAACTGATTATTTTTGAAAACTTTGCCACCCTGTATCTCAAAAGTTAAGGCGTTTAGGACATACGTCATTTAGGACGTTTTTTCCTTAAAATGGGTCTAAGAATTACCTCCTTGAATATTAGCATGTGTTTAAGGAACACCCTGTATACGCGATTTTAGATTGCACTGCAAAGAAGTCAATTCATTTCTTGTTCTTTGTTTGCTGAAACCATTGAAGAGTATAATAATATGATTAGAAAGAGAATCATTTTCAGTTTGTTGCGATATATTGAATAAAGGTATTTCTCTTACCCTATATTTGGTATGCCAATGGACTGGCTGCAGGAGAAGCGAGCAAACAAGTGAATGCATCGAAAATCCACCAAATAAAAGGATTGTGCCTTCCATATCATACATGTTCATCAGGGCTATCACAATATAAGGACAAACGACTGGACCGAATGCGGTTATGGTCCAGGATAATCCGGTAGCTATTCTTCTTTTCTTATCGAAGTAAGTATTCATGGCAAGGGCGTTTGCCGATTCGAGTAATCCAAAGGCACCACCTGTTCAAAAACATCAATACGTTGAGGAAATGTACGGATTCAAAGTGCAGGAACAATTTCAAAGAGAAGTTTTTGTAAACGGATCAAACATATCAGAATGCTTTAGTCGTTAGATGGAGTGTAACAAGTTTTTGTACGCAATCACTGTTTCAGTTCCAGGTTAAAAACTCTCACAACTAGTTCCCTTGGGGAAACAGGAGATCGACCGAAGATCCTTCCCTTCAGAAGTAAATCCGCTTCAAAACGTCTAACTCACCATCAATAGGCCAAGCCACCTCCTTTCTTCGCCAACAGCCACAGAGATCACGAACATAAACATTTTGAGGGCAGATAACTTCTCAGATAAGGATCTTTGAACCCATCAGAGATCCACTGCAAGAAAACAGTAGTAACACAATCCATTTCAGTGACAGTGAAAGGCCAAATCATCAAAAGGTGGGGGCAGCTATCCATCAGTACTACTCGATTGAGGTTATTGATTTTTGTTCCTCAGAGCTTTATAATCTGTTCCAATTTCAAATTCTGGATTTTGTATCCAAAGACACCAAGTAACCAAGATGTGATCTATTGAGGTAATCAATGAAGCGAAATGAAAAGTGATGCCCTGAACTGAATATGTGATAAACTTTCTGTGAATCTCATGAATGGTAATCTTTGTCCGGTGAATAACTACCAGCAAGCGAAGATAGAACGCAGATACTCAAGCCAAAAGTTCCAATTACGCAAGAAAACCTCAATTCACGTGGACTTAGTGTCTATCAACAACATACAGACGTAGTTTGCGTTAAGCAAGGAACACTACGTCTCCAGACGAAGCAACTGTTGCATAACATCGGTTATGCAATAGGAGGACACCTTTGAATAGTGGCTACGTTACATCGATGACATCTTCGCCATCTGGAAACAAGGCAGGGACGCTCTGAACCTTTTCCCAGACAACTTGAACGCTCAACACACCCAAAGTTCACCACGAAGACTGAACGGTTGCAGCGGATAGCGTTACTAGATATGCTGCTAGACTAACCCACAAAGTGTACCAAAAACCCATGCACACGGATAGGTACCTGCACGCACTATAGAACTAAAGAAGCACCATCCTAGCCAGAAAAGAGAGTCATGCTCTGAACATTTTCCCAGACAACTTGAACGCTCAACACACCCAAAGTTCACCATGAAGACTGAACGGTTGCAGCGGATAGCGTTCCTAGATATGCTGCTAGACTAACCCACAAAGTGTACCAAAAACCCATGCACACGGATAGGTACCTTCACGCACTATAGAACTATAGAAGCACCATCCTAGCCAGAAAAGAGAGTCATCTCCACTTCAACCAGAGCATCTAGATAAAGAAATTCAAGTGACCTTGAGATCGAATGGACAGTGTATCCGCGATCAACAAAGCGATGGAACTGAAGTTCTACGGCTCAGAACGGGGAGAAGGTTCAGATCGTTGCACGCGCGTATCTACCTTATGTCGTTAGGGTTGCAGGCAGAATTGGAAAACTCTTGAGGAAACACAACATCAAAACGGTTTTCAAACCTACCAAGAAGATATAACAAAGCCTCAGGTGGGCTAAAGACAAGAGCAGGGGTTTATTGAAAACCGTGCACCTTGTGGAAAGGTATACATCGGAACCACCAAAAGATATATGGGAATACTATAAAACTCAGCAGCAGTTTGAACTGTAATAATAATAGTTACCTGATTATTCTTCTCATTCCATTTATAATAAGGATAATGCGTGAGGATGACACCCAAAACGTGAAGTGTTCCACATTTTTGAGAAGTGCTCCTGAGATTCTACAAGTCGCTAGTTTTATCCAAAATCGACTGAGGAAGTATCCTTTACTCGTCAGTACGTAAATCTCGCCTCAAAACGCTCAAAATGGGCACCTCCAGCTTCCATGCAATAATAGAGATTCAGCTGGAAACATTCATTTGTGATTTGTTGCCGTAAATCTTCGAGGGATGCAGGAGGAGTACAGTAAATTCTGCTTTTCAAATGACCTCACATAAAGAAATCTAACGGCATAAGGTCTGGTGATCGTGGTGGTCATTCGATAGTGCCCCGCCTCCCAATTCAGTGATCCGAAAAAATCTGATCTAAATACTGCCGAACAGGCAGAGCATAGTGCGGAGGAGCCCCATCTTGTTGAATTTTTAACAGATCCTCCCGATAACTGTGGTCATTTTCAATAATATCAGTGAGAAGGGGATGAATAGTATCTTCCAGAAGCTCCAGATACATTTGTCCGGTTGAATTGCCTTCTAAACAATGGGCCAATAATACGTTTACCAAAAATTCCAGCCCATACATTCAATTTTTGTGGACGTTGAGTATGCACTTCATGAAAAATGTGAGGATTTGTATCAGCCCAATAGCGACAATTATGGCGATTAACTGTGACACAGCTCGTTCACTAATCAACTCGCAGAATTGCAAGCGTCGATCGAAATCATTTTCATTCAGTTCTTGCGTTAATTTAATCTTGTAAGGATGCATTTTGTGGGTTTTCAAAATACGCCGAATGCTAGTTCGTGACACCCCCGAAACAAAACCTAACTTTCTTGTGCCATATTTGTTACTGGTGGTTGGATTTGCCGTTTTTTACTTGCTACAGATCCAGTTGGGCGAAATTTTGCACTCAAATCGAAAACATACTGTCGCGACACATTGTTCCCATGTTGTTGATTGAACAGTTCAGCGGCTCTCGCAGCACAACGTCTATTTCCATAGTATAGTTGAATCAATACAGTTGTGTAAACCATTGTTTCTTTAGCAATACTTTACGGTACTCACCACTAGTATTAATGTAGATAACACTTTCAAAACCGCATTTTTAACAATTTCTCAATGAGCCTTTTTCCTGAGATTAGTACACCAAACGTGTCACGAGAGGCAGCACTAGCAGTAGGGACAAACAATAAACTATTCATATGTAAAACAGTGTTATTCACGTGATATCAACTTATCATTTAAAAATATGAATTTGATATAAAAAATTATTTTGTGTTAGTATAATGCCAACAAAGCATTGCTGTTTTACGAATTGTACGTCGGATAATCGATATCTGGAAAAAAACGTGTTTTTATACCATTTATAAAGCCTCATACTAATGAGGATAGATGTAAGAGATGGATACATGCTTCGAGGAGAGTGGATTTAACAGTGCAAAAAATAAATAAATATTCGTATGTATGCTCTAAACATGAAATGAATAATACATTTTTCATAGTTAATTACCATTGATTAGAATGAAATACAACCTCACTCGTTTATCAAACTATATTCATTAGATTGAATTGAATTCATTTCATTACCATTTATATTTGATCCATATTTCACGTGGAAATAAGTCGGAAATTCATAATTATTTTAAAAATTTCTTTCATTACAGTTTGAATCTACCGCTACTCGTTTACTTGAGTCTGTTTACTAACCTGTCTAATAATTCAATTTTTTCCAGTTACTTTTGGCAGTTGGCATGCAAGCCAACGTTTTATTATTACAACATTGTTATCCTTCACAGTTGCAAACTTTAGTTTTGCTCCAGGAACATTTTCTTCTGTTAAAAACATTATTTTTTTATTGTACTTCACCATATGTTTATATGAGGATTAGGCAGCCTACCGAACTACTAGCGCTGCTAGTGAGTGATTTTTCGTACTTGAGGAAAAAAGATCATTGTAATAGTAATAGTAAAAGTAACGTAATAAACAAATGAAAGCAGTCCAAATACATTCCAACTGAGCAGTGGTGTACAACAAATTGTTGCTGATAACAATATTGAAAAAATTAATTATCGGAAAGAATACTTTTAAATATGTCCCAATTCAAAAAAATGTACACCATTGTCTAGAAAAATTCAAGATCATTCAAAAGATGTACGACTCGCCCCCTATTCCCTGATAAAATTCTAAGGGTTGTTCACCCCTCTGCTCCGGGGTTGCAGTGACGACGCTGTAAATGAGGAAAAAAACTGTCACCCTCCCAATAAAAATCGACCTGTCTGAGCGTTTTTTAGGATTTGCAAGATTAGTATCCAAAACCTCCATCTCAAGTTTTCGATGGCACACCCTGTATTTATGCTATTCATTTATTCCAAATTTTGATTTTTTGTTTTTCTCAACTCATTACTATATGATGTTTTTAAGTGATTATCGAATTCAATTTGAGCCAAAGTGCTGCGAAACAGCTGTAAAAATCAACTAGACATTCGGCAATGATATTGTTAATGAAAGCATTGTTCAAAGTTGTTTTGTGAAACTTTGGTTGACCTTCAACAATCCAGGTCGAGGATTCGAGGACCCTGGTGAGGATTGACCCACCACAAACGGTGCGTGGGATGGCGGACGAACTAGGCGTCAGTTCTCGAGGGGTTTTTGATGGTTAAAAACGTATTGAGAAGGTCTAGAAGCTCGGAAAGTGGGGGCCACACGATTTGAACGATCGACAGAAATCGTCACATTTCAAAGTTAGTTTTTCTTTGCTTTCGCCAAACCAAAACGATTTTTTTTTAGATCGGTTCGTCGCGTGTCATGGAAAGTGGATCTTCTACGATAACAGGAGACATTCAGCACAGTGGTTTGACTCTGTTGAGTCAGTCACCCAGAAACTTCCTAAAGGCGAAATACCACCAGAAAAAGACCATAATCATTGTATGGAGGCTACACCATCACATCAGTGTTTTTTGTAAGGAAATTGACGGAATAAACTGAAAATTGTGTTCGAAACGGACAAAACTTATTATCTACATCGTAATCTTTGTTGACAGCAATTTGTAACTCAACGTTATTATTCCACAGCCTACAAAAATAATTACTAAAGGCAGACAATATCCTCTGAGAATTAAAAAGTGGGTCCAAGTAACCTCATTTCACCAATAGTTGAATTTGGATTCTTCCATGCAATAAAAAATACACAAGAAAGTTGTACTCACATTACTTAAACCACACGCCACGAGTATGAGCCAAGCCCATCCTGAATCGGGAGATTCAAAATCGGGGTCTCCTACCCTCAGTCTTTGCCTCTTTTTTGGAACCATATTTGGCACTACCGCCGTATCACTGGTCCTCTTGAATCCTCTGGTCATTTTCTGAAACGAATCATCAAACGGAAATCACACAACGATAAGTAATCTTCTCTCCAAATCCCTACAAAGTATGTGTATTGCGGCAATACTCCAGTGGAGTTAGTCATTGTTCATCATCATTTGAAATTCGAAAACGGTGTTATCAGGAAAAAAATTAAAAATCGATTTATTATCGTATCTATGTATTTTTGGGGTGTTGCATCTGAATCTCAACTATGTGTCTAGGCAATACGTCGAAATTTTCTATGTGAAGCCGACCATAATTCGAAAGAATCCCTTTCTATTCAAAATTGAAGTAGATAAAATTGTCTGTAAACTTTGAAATTTAAATAATATTTGACCCCGCTAAAGCGCGCTGCAAACGACCACTTCTTGACACTTTAAGACAATCAATAGTAATAATAATACTGATTACTTAAATACTGTACTCTTCCACCACCCTTGAACGTGGTGGAATTCAATTCGAATAGGATATAAACTAAATAAATACCGAACGTGGCCAGTTTCTTTGTATGGCATGGGCGGCGTTGTATATTTATATCACGTAGGCAAAAAACTGCCTACGTTCGGTGACTATTTAGTTTTTATGCCATTCGTATTGACCTCGTACAGACTATACACGCATTCTATCGGTATGAAATTCGGGATAGACAAATGTGCAATGGTCCACCTCAACAGAGGACGATGCGGGGACTACGAAGAGGGTGTGCAGCTCGTAGATAGAAGCATCCTGCACCATCTGGATGCCGGAAAGATGTATACTTACCTAGAAGTGGAACAACGCCACTTGCTACAGGTAACAGCAGTGAAGAACTCTTTCCGCGGCAAGTATCACCACAACATCCGGCAGATCTGGGCATCGGAACTGTCAGGGAAGAACAAAGCTACTGCAACGAATATGCTTGCCGTTCCAACTCCTTATGGAAGGAGCTGTATCAACTTGACGTACAGACCCGAGAAATGATGCACCTCCATAGGAGGTGCATACCAAATCGGCCGTTTCACGGTTGTACTTCCCCCGACAACAACGAGGTCGTGGACTTTTCAGGTGAAGAGTATCTACATGACAAAATGGTACTGAATGTAGCCTCTGAAGTCGTCAGGAGTACGGATCTCCTTCTCTGCATGGTAAAAAACTGCCTACGTTCGGTGACTATTTAGTTTTTATGCCATTCGTATTGACCTCGTACAGACTATACACGCATTCTATCGGTATGAAATTCGGGATAGACAAATGTGCAATGGTCCACCTCAACAGAGGACGATGCGGGGACTACGAAGAGGATGTGCAGCTCGTAGATAGAAGCATCCTGCACCATCTGGATGCCGGAAAGATGTATACTTACCTAGAAGTGGAACAACGCCACTTGCTACAGGTAACAGCAGTGAAGAACTTTTTCCGCGGCAAGTATCACCACAAAATCCGGCAGATCTGGACATCGGAACTGTCAGGGAAGAACAAAGCTACTGCAACGAATATGCTTGCCGTTCCAACTCCTTATGGAAAGAGCTGTATCAACTTGACGTACAGACCCGAGAAATGATGCACCTCCATAGGAGGTGCATACCAAATCGGCCGTTCCACGGTTGTACTTCCCCCGACAACAACGAGGCCGTGGACTTTTCAGGTGAAGAGTATCTACATGACAAAATGGTACTGAATGTAGCCTCTGAAGTCGTCAGGAGTACGGATCTCCTTCTCTGCATGGTCCTTGGCCAAGAGAGATCAGGAATTGTAGCATTCCTCTTCAGGGCAGCTGCCCTGAAAAATTCTCGGTGGTATTCTACAGTGAAGCCCACCACCACCACACCACTGTACTGAATAGGCTCTGATACAAGCATTATATCGATTCAGCTTCGAGGGTTTCTGAGAACATTGTACGTGTCTCTATCTCCCGCAACAGCAGCCCAGAAACGTAGCTTCATGGTGTTCTACAGCCGTCGCTTGCAAATGCCACACAACCTGAAGAATGGGGCAAAAAAATAACATGGGAATTTTATTAAACACTAACAACACTTGAGACGCCAAACAAGCTGGAGCACCTCCTACTGCAAGTGTGGATATGAAAAGTTGTTATCTAGTAACAAACTTCAACGAATCTACTACCAGATCAACTTCTATCTAAGAAAGCAGTGAGGGGTCTGAATGAAAAAGAAAAAAAAAGAAGCAGAGTTTGAGAACACTCAGTCTGGTCCATCCTGGCCATCTAGAGAGCAGGTATTCAGAATGTACCACCGTTTGCCTCTTTTTTTTGACATACTCTCCTTTTCAAAGTAGTCAATTACAATATGTCCATGCCTAACCTGAGGAGGAGTGAGAGGAAAACTAAAGGAGTTCCTCCTGAAAGATATAGCGACGTATGTTATGACCCACAACAAGTTTCGGAGTTGCAGAAACGTTCTTCATCAGAAAACAAATCTAATGCCGAAGACAAATCAAAAATTACGAAATCTTCAAGCTCTAGACGACGAATGTTGGAAATAGAATTGGAAAAAATGAGAAAATTGGCCGAAGTAGAGAAAAGAAGAGCCGAAATTGAGAGGAGAGTCGAAATTGAGAAAAGGAGAAACGAAATTGATGCTGAACTAATGAGAAAAGAAGCACAACTACAACGTGAACTGATTCAAGATTCTTCATATAAAAAGTCCACAATCTCCAGTGGCAAAAACACCATTGATTTGGAAGAAATGACGCTACAAGAAAAAGTTGCTGAGTGGAAAATCGAAGAAAAAGAAAATAAAACCGATTTCGTACCGACAAACAATTTTATTACGATGACTACTGATGATTTCAACCAGATTTCAGTCGTTCTGAAGATAAATAAATCAAAATGTTCGGAAAAAACAGACAATGTTAAAACAAATTTGCCGATTTTCGATGGGAATCCAGAGGACTGGCCTTCGTTCTACAGTCAGTTCGATCGTTCCACCAAACTTTCTGATATATGTGAAGATGAAAATATAATCCGTCTACAAAGATGTTTAAAAGGAAGAGCTAGAGATGCAATTCAACCTCTTCTTGTTTCACCAAATAATGTTATGAATATAATAGAAACTTTGAAAGTTACATTTGGACGACCTGAATTTATCATTTCNTCTCAACGGAAATGAATTGAAGAATAATATGTCAAATAGAGTGATTTCATCACGAGGGGGAGAATGTTGTTGCTTTAATTAATTTTGTTAACTTTTGTTCACTTACTATATTGAAATAATTGATCATGGTTTGTTCATAAAAAAAGAAGAATTTGACATCGACAAGAATTTGAAAAAGTTTAAAAAAATGAATAGATTGACATGAAACGTTTGATTCCTGGTTTATTTCGACTTTAAATCAAAGGAAATCACAGTAGGACTGACTAGTCCGAATAATGGCTTTCGAAAACAAAGATCAACAAGCGACCTTCTATCATATGTCAACCATATTTGTTATAACGCAATCGAGAAACATGTAGAGTCAAGAGCTGTTGCGCTTGATATTTCTAAGTCCTTTTACCGTGTGTTGATATTTCTAAGGCCTTTTACCGTGTGTGACATGAGGATTTGCTGACCTAACTTCGATGAGATGGTTTGGCGTATCATTTTTGTGTATGGTCCCCCAGTTGCCTGAAAAAATGTTCCCTGCAAGTGGCCGTCGCGATGGATATCTCTGAAATACTTACAGGACATCGGCTGTAGATGCACATCTTCACCGTCAGCACGAAGATGAATATCCTAATGAAGATCTAGAAATGATTTCGAATTGGGGTGAAAGTAGCCGGATTCAAATGTATGTCACGGTTTTCTCCAAAAAGATAAATGTCTCCGAACTGGATATAATAAGATCAGGACAAACAATTCATGGAGACTTCACTAATTGTTTAGGTATCCCATTTATTGATTAATTTTCATTTCAGGTCAAACTGATTTGTTTTCTATGCAAATTCGCCTGCTTGAATCCTTACTTTTATTTTATTTTTATCATTTTCTTTTTTTTGAGAATTATTTCTGTTTCAACTAACCCATCCGAATACTTCGGTCTGGATATTTTTTAGTGTTTACAATAATTTCAATATTACATTAATTCAATTTTATTTCTTTCTTTCATAGATTCGTAGATTTCTTTTTAGTGACTGTACAAGTCAAAACTGTGACATTGGATGGTGGATTTGTTACTTATCCTAGTTTTCCTGGAGTAAAAACTATCGTGGAACTAATCAAGTTATTGCAGAATATGAATTAGTTTGTGATATAACAGCGAACATTTTGTGTCACGGTTGAAAGAACAAAAGTGTGGAAATGCCCCCATTATCTATAAAACTTGTTTTGTCTGAAAGTGTGTCATATTAACTGAGTTATTGTTTACTTCTGGAAACTGTATCTATGGTTAGATAAGGGACTAGTAGACAATTTGTGCTGTTTATTTAAGAAATATGTGATACTTTCTTCACGTATACTAAAACCAATAATGATTGAGAGTAGAAGTAAGCCCAGTTGACAGCAAATCGGGGGTGTGCTTATTAATTTTTGAGAGGGTTAAGAATGAAAGAAAAATTCTTAGTACACTTAGTTAAAATATATCCTAATTTACCTAATCGTTGTAGTCATTAGGTGGGCCTTATGAAAACGGAGTAATAATCATGGTAATTATAGTAGGTACCAAATAAATTAACAATAATAAGTGAACTCTTTTTACCTAATCGTTGTAGTCATTAGGTGGGCCTTATGAAAACGGAGTAATAATCGTGGTAATTATAGTAGGTACCAAATAAATTAACAATAATAAGTGAACTCTTTATAACTAGAAAATACAAATTACAAATTTTTGATAAGAGAATATACTGTTGCTACCGCTATCATCAAAGTGAATTATGATTGGTTCAATATTGTGTTCAATACGGTTGTCTACGTCCCACATTTTTTGCTCCTCTTTTAAAACATGCTGCATGCATTTCTCCCAGTCTTCTGCAGAAACAGTTCGAATAGCTTCTTATGTTGTTTCTGTTGTTTCATTCATGTGTGTTCCCACGAGTAGCAAGGGAAGAGTTGGTCACCTCTGGCAGAGCCCCGCATTACCAGAGGTAGGCTGATTATTACAATGAGGTTTCGCCCAGTTCCCCAAGAGGACCGTTCGTGACTGCATATCATTCTGCGGTCATTCAGCTGTCGGTACGATTCCTTACACCTTAGCTTGGGTAGGCTGGTCCACGGGGACATGTTTTGCAAAGGCTTTTGGGGGGTTTTAGTTCCCCTCACCCTACTCATTTCTGCCACTAACCATGAGTCCGGCGACCCCGTCTTTAAGACCACATTGTCTTCCCGGACAGGGCCTCCCGAACGTGCCCGATAGGTAGCCCAACCCATGGGGTCAGCCTAAGTTATTCAGGTAAAAAACACCTTATCCCTTGCCTCTTATGGGAACCTACGCAGGAAGCTGATGTAAAACCATCAGACACTTGTGCAACGTTTTCCATTTGAAAGATTCGATTTCATTTGGTCGAGATGACCACCGATAGACCAGTTTCGGGGTACTTGCCCCTCGTCAGTACTGTGCAGGTCATTTCAGACGGAGTGAACCGTCTGAGCCTCCCGAACAAACAAATTTAATTCCAACTAGACATAAACTCTATCTGCAGTTGATTCAGTGGGATAGCTACAGCGCCATCTGCAGACAAAGCCACGAAACAACTCCACAAACCCAAACTCCGGGGTGGGAGTCAGAATAATAATGATTATCCGAAGAAAGTTTTGTAATTTTGTAACATAAAGTTTAATTTTTCTCAACTAATGAATTATGAAAAATAATGAAAAAGAGCCCGCATCTAGATAAAAACTGGCTTTTCGAAAAAGTGCTACAAGGGAAAAAAATCAAAAATGATGAATTGAAACAATGATGCCACAATACTAATTTAATTCCAACGCATAGAAAAGTTCTTTGGGGGTTCAACACCCTCTAAAATGTATATGGGTGGAACAGATATCCCGGTTTTATATGAAAAAGATGCTCTCACGATAAGAAAGCCATGGATTCATTATGAAATGAAGTCGTGGCTTCCAAAATTTCATTGGAAAAATAGATTTTCATTTTGTATTTGCCAAGGGCTGAAACTTTTATTTGTGTACATTTGCATTGAGGTAAGTTAGGTATATCCAATCGAGTTATTTATGATCCCAGAAAATGGGGTTCGATTTATGACCTTTTTATTACACCCTGTATAACTCATATATTGAATATTTTTCAAGGCTATTTATAGAATGACCACGAAATATACCTGGTCTATGATCAGTAGCACCGTTTACTAAGTAAAAAGGAAAAAATGTTCACATAAATTAGCTTTGGGTATCTGATATCATTAATATGTGGTTCAATTTATTAGCCATTTTTTTGTTACACCCTGTATATTTTCAAATGCCAAAGTGGGTTATTCTGCTGGCGCCCTCAATACTATTATCCGATTTCTAACTCTGAAAGTTATCATTTCAGCTTGTATCAAATTTGAACAATAATTTCTGAAACTCTTTCTGCAATTTTAATTGAGGAATTTACACTGTCATGTTGATTTTTATCGTTTTAATTCATTATCCCTAACATAAAGAAAAAGTCTTAAAATAACTGGCCGTTCCAAGCCTCTTTAAATACATCAACAGTATATTTACTGCCAGTATCAAGTAGGTGAGTCGACTTTTATTTGTGACTATTTCCCAATTTACGAGAACACTGTACACCGCATCTGAAAAAGTGATCGAAAAACAAATGAACATACCTTTTATATTACACACAGCAACATCTTGAAATAAACCACTCAAACTCTCACCACGTATGCGATATCAGATGAAACAAGACAATGTTGAAGAAATCGCACCAAATTCACACTTGATTAAACAGCTTCACTGATCCTTCACGATATGCAGTTGTAAACAATACGACTTATCACTTGTCTACAAACGAACTATATTTACAGCAGAGCAATGTGGTCGGTGAAGGTCAAATTTGATTTCACCCGACGAATATGACTGTTTTGTTAAATTATTCGTTTCATTAGAACAACGCGTAACAATTCAGCTTGGTACTGTTACCATGAAATTAAATGGAATATTGTTTAGCCACTTACCAAAGAGCGTGTGTACTGTGGTTGTCACATCGAACTAAGTTATTTATCTTGGGATCGACGTTATATATGGAAACGTACATTTATCATCTGAATTGATACATCTGGTGTTGTTGACATTATTTCTTCGCTGCTTTACTATACGGGATGGGAGGAGTTCCTGCAGAGATTCAGTTAAAAGAAAGCGGATCGTTCATTATTGTGAATGAATACAATGTTCCATGAAATCATTTCTTACCGAATTATCAGCTCTATCATTACCTCTCGTACGCTGGAAAATGCGAAGAACACAACAAATGAAAGTTGGGAGTATAGTCAATGAACAGAGAGGAAAATCTCCTCACAAAGAACCACATTGGTCCCAGAGATTCCGATCAGTTCAATTCATTTTATTGCAACATTGCGCAGTCTATAACACAAAACCTAAACACTGACCAAAATCCTCTTTTATATCTTAGAGAAAATAACATTGTCTCGTCCTGTATATTTTATGACACCACTTCATCAGAATATTGAAGTCTTCAAATCGATAAAAAATCAAAATGCTGTGGATTATGATGAGTTGTCAATAAAAATCTTCAAAAATTTCCCCTTCCGGCTTTAATAGTACTTTGAATGCTGATTAATGATGGGTTTGGAAAGGGCACATTTCCTGAGTTTTTGAAAACATGTGTGATAATTCCTATTCACAAAGGAGGTGATACTCGCGATCCATCTAACTAAAATATCTTGGATTCAGAAATAACAAGAATACGTCTGATGCCATGTTTAATTGTCTAGAAAAGGCATACAACAGCATCAATGTAAGCAAAAGCATGGCGGCAGCTTTCTGTCATATGACTGAAGCTTCTGACTGTCAATCACAAATTATTACTGCAGAAACTCTCTCACTATGGTATAAGAGACATGGTCCTGAAGTGGATGGAATCATATTTAACAGGAAGAAACCAACTGTTCAAAACAGACCATACACCGAATTACTAAAAGTTAGTTGGGGAATACCCCAAGGATAAGTTTTAGGTCTATATCTATTTCTTCTGTATATAAATGATCTTTCCCTCTTAAATATATCTGGTTCCTTCAAAATGTATGTATAATAAACTTCCTGAAGATATCAAGAAAATGGATTCTCTTAAAACTTTCAGGAAAAAGTTACGTGAAAGACTGGCATCTAAAGCCTATTACAATCTAACGTAATATTTCAATGACGAAACGATATGAAATTGACGTTGCTTATATGTAATAATATATGTGTACTTTTACCTATATTTCATATGTATTATTTTCATGTAATTATGTAATTGTATATTTATCTAGATGTAGTTATTCACATGTTCTCTTTTTACCAGTGTTTGTCAATAAGGTCATATATCTTGGATAATAAACACACACACACTCTCTCTCTCTCTTTCTATATGTTATAAATAAAAGTCTACTCCGTACAGATGTTTTTTAGAGTTTTTTCTAAAAATTTATTTTCATTCGCGATTGTTTCAATAGAATTTTATGAAAAAACTATCAGAGACGGTCTAAGGTCAGCTCATGATTCATAAAGCCATCATCATTCATAGAACCAGTATCATACAGCCTCTAACGTACTTGATCAATCTGTCATTTGTAACAGGGTCATTTCCGAAAGAATTAAAAATTGGGAAGGTAGCTCCAATACATATAAAGCAGGTCCAAGAAAAACTGGAAAACCATAGACCAGAAACAATAACTTCTAGTTTTTCAAAAATATTCGAATATTCTTACTTGGATAGGCTCATAACTTTTTGAGTAAGAATAAAATTCTTACTGACCAGCAACATGGTTTTCGATTAGATAAATCTACGAATACAGCAGTAATTAATTTTGTCGAGCGTTTGATATATTATATAGAAGCAGGAGAATGTCCTGTAGGCATTTTTTGCGACCTAAGCAGGGCCTTCGATTGTGTTGACCAGATAAATCTCTTATCGAAATTGTATTCTTATGGTATAAGAGGAGTAACATATGATTGGATTCAATCGTTTTTAGAAAGCAGAAAACAATATGTGAGTATAACACATAACAATTCAAATACAACTCCTATACATCACTCCGATTATGCGGAGATTTTCATGGGTGTGCCACAAGGATCGATATCAGGTCCGGTACTGTTTTTGCTGTACATAAATGAAATGGATACAGTCATGAGCGAATACTGGCTGGAGTTAACAGCACTTTTTCTTGTAGGAGTTTATTCAGGCAGTTTAGGGTTATGACTCTTGCAAGTCTTTATATTTTCGAATTATCTTTATATACTTTTAAGAATAAAGATAAGTTCTTACTGAACTCAAATGTCCATCGAGGCAAAAATCAAATTTTCATATTCCGTACTGCAAGTACAAAATTTCATCAGACACGTCATCTGTGGTGGGTAAGATAATTTTTAATGAGCTGCCAAAATACATAAAACCTCTTCTGTTGACCAGTTGACTATTTCGTCGATTTTCTCACAATGGGACTCTCACAATGGAGTTTTATTTCAACACCTCAACACTTGTTTCAATCACCAAGTGATCGTCTTCGAGAGAAAGTTCAAAATTTAATCTTCCTCTTGAAGATGATCACTTGGTGATCGAAACACGAGTCGAGGTGTTGAAAATAACGGTTTGGTGTTGGGATAACACTCCGGAAATATTCATTACTACACCAAAAGTTCCAAATAGTGCATCACGAATGCAAAGTTTCAAGTTTGAAGTCGGTATTTCAAGTTCAATATTGGAATTTCGAGTTTGAAGCCGAAATTTCGTGTTCATACTCGAAATTTCGAAATTAAAGTCAGAATTTTGACTTTCGGAATTTCAAAGAAACAGAATAGGTAGCCAGATGTTATATTTTAGGCCATACGGGTAGAGGGTATTTTCGAAGGGACTGACGGTCCTTTAAATGTATATTTTCTGAATATAATATATAGAATATACATGAAAGAGGCACAAACAGGCATTTTTACTTGCTTAAGTACCTGAATGTATATATACGTGACTAATGTGTGTATATTACATAGAACGTGACTTTTACAATTGCGATATCTCAGGAACGGTGATACTTACAGAAAAAATCATGAGACTATTTTTGAACAAAATTTTGAGATCTACAACTATGGTCTGAAGTATTTTTTTTTATAAAATTCACAGTTTTCGAGAAAAACCCGAAATTTTGACTTTTGACCCCGAATAACTTTTGAAGCGTTCATGAGACAGTTTGGGACTTTCAGATTTTCATTTTTTATGGTAAAATAAAGGTCTCCACCAAAATTTAGCCCTATCGCATTTTCGTTATTTCATTACTGTTTTCAGGTCTAAATTGACCGGACTATCATTGACTTTATGATGGCCACTATCTTTTCTGGGGAGTAGTTGTTTTCTGATAGGCGTCAGTCCATTCAACCTACTGTTTAGTTATATCCGACACAAGTAAATTTTTTTAGAATTGCAAATATTGTATACATCTGGTTTTTGAGTTATTTCAGATTATAAAATATTACGAATCCCAATTTGTATGAGTATAACTTTGAATTCTAATTGCTACTTATACGAAACTCTAAAAATCCAACCAGTAAGTTTCAGCCTCATTAGCCCTAAACAATCGAATAATTCTGAACAATAAACATTGTGTTACACTCTTATCTACTTTGTTACTCGTTGGGTAAATATTTATTCCTTCGATTGTCTGACAGGATTCGGATCATTCTATAAAATGATATTTTCATGAACCTGTGAGATTTTTTCGAACTGAAAATGTGTACATTCCATACAACAACAGTGGGTGGAGGTATTCACAACATCTCAGGAAAATTCGTAGAAAGAAGTACAGCTAGATCACCCTGTACATATCTAGAAGTTCACATACTTGACATGAAACAAGTACGAAAGAGCGGGAAATTCAAAATTCAACATTTGTGGACTAAAATTTATTATTATCACAAAATAGACAACTGGCAGAGGATGTGAATTAATGTCAAATGAAAACAAAATGATATCTGGTCAATAAAATTGGAAGAGGTATCATAAAGTTGTTGTAAATATTAAGAAATGCTAACGAAAAATGTATATCGCACTAGTATTTCTAAAATGCCACAACTCAAAAATCGGTATATTTGAGTTGAGACTATGAAAAAATTGGTAAATATTTCTGTATCAAGTTGTATTAACTGTATCAAGTTGTATTAACATCCAAACTGTATCAACTTGATATAGTTCAGATGATACTGTATCAACTTGATACAGTTTATATGATCGATAAAGAAATATTTATCGATTTTTTTCATATTGATTTTTGAGTTGTGTCCCTTTGGAAATACTAGTGCGATATGTTTAGACATAAGGAAGGTTAAATATGTTGTCACATAAATATTAAGGAAAGCTGTATCTAAATTTAGAAATGAGTAGCAAATTTGTAGAGGAAATAATTTTCAAGATATCAAAGTTGGAAATTTGAAGTTACAGAAATTGATAGTTGGTAACTAAAGAAAGTAGAGGATTTTCAACTTTTTTATCAACAAAACATTCTTCTTAAGGCGACGAAAGGCGACGCCATGCCAAATCTTTTTCTCCCAGAAAAAGTTAGACTAGAAAAGTTAGTAAATATTGAATAACTTTATTAAGAAATGATATTTGGAAGAAGTTGAAATAATAATACTAACCTGTATAAGCCAGTTTCAACCAAGGAACTCATCAAGAAATTCATTACTTGAAGAATGTCCAGCAGACGAGACAATTTTCACTGTGCGAAACACACAGAAGGAAAACCAGATATTTACCTCTTTTCATATCGAGTATAAAAGCATATATGCATTTATAAGTAATTTATCCAAGAAGAAACATTGGATAATTGAACAAAATATTGAATTCATGAATTTCCATCGATCATAAAACTGCAAAGTGTCCAGGAGAGATTAACTGATATTTCTGACATTAGTTAATTTATATTTA